TCCCATCATCAGAGGACAAGTGACAATCACAGCCAGAATACACATTCAATACATGTACAGTGATGAAACACTACCAAAGGTCAGCCAGTCCCCAGAACAAGGATGAGGCATGTCAAGTCCTCAGTGGGCATGTGTGGCTGTGCCTGTGATCCTGAGCCAAGCAAATACAGCATACATCCAACACCATAGAAAGTTATAGAGGCAACACTTACCTAAAGAGTCTATGCACGTAAAGGGAAAATTTTATTGGCACTAGAGCTCAAAAAAGTAGTTACAATGTTAACCAAAAATATATGGATAAAAAGGCAAGAGAATTACAGGGTGCAGCTCAGAGTGAAAAGACACGCTCAGCACTCCAAAGATGTGGCTATAAAGGGTACCAAAGGGCAGGTTAGGGTGACTTTTGTGAATACTACAATGTCTACTCAATACCTAGAAGATAAAAACATCTGGAAAACTAACCTACTGTAAAACCAAGGGGGAAAAAACCAAACAGAGTATAATAACTTATTTTCCTCTGCAAAGATATGTTTGCTGGTAAAAGCAACTTAAATACTGTATCAGTGTACTCCTTTCTTTAATCACATGCTGTGCAACCTTTTGTGCCTATCTTTAATCATTTAGCAGAATCTGCACACAGCATCAGGTAGTACCGCCCTTTTTTATGCCCGAGCGCTGTTCAATTGTACAAAGGCCAATGCTTCAGTCAACTCAACTGATAGCCACAAGCTGTTTTTACTTTTTGGCTATTCTGACCACCATTCTGTGAACACTTTCGTGTCATTTTGGGTATGAAGATATTTTCCCTTCCTTGGGCACACATCCAAGAATGGCACTACTCTGTCATGTGGCATCCCCAGTGTCGGCCCCTATTGTTCAAGCAGCAACACCACTACACAATTTTCCAACCATGGAGAAAGATTCCAGTTTCCTACAACCTCACCAACACTTGTTATTACTCTCCATTTGCAGTCATCCTAATATGTGTGACAAAATTTTTCATTCTAATTTTGATTTGCATTTCCCTGATGACTAAGCATGAAGCACGTCTTGTGTATTTACTGGCCATTACCAATTCTTGTCCGAAGAAATCCATATTCAAATCCTTTATCCACTTTCACTCTGAGTTGCTGCTTCACACTGTAGTGGTGTAAGAACTCTTCACATTCTTTAGATACTGGACTTTATTAGATACATGATTTTCTCCAACACTGGAAAGGCTGTACACAGAGTAGCAGAAGCAATTCTCTCACACTGCTGGTAGGAGAGCAAAATAGTGTAACAACATGGGAAAGCGACTTTAAAAAATTACTACTGTGTACACTCTCTAAACAACAGCTGCCTTCCAGATGGACTCCAGGAAAATTCTTAGGTTTGGAGGAAAGGAAGTGTGTGATACTTTGTAACCTAACTGAAAGTGAAAAGAATCACACTGAAAACCCACAATAGCCTGATGCCATTTATAAAACATTCAAAAATATGCAAAAGCAGGGAGGGGTTAAGGACATCACTTACAGGTAAAAGCACAATCTGAGAGAGGCCCTGGGTTCAATTCCTAGCTGTAAAACACGAAGAAAACAAGCAAAAGCAAATAATACTTCAGAGGGCTAATAGAAACAAGAAAATCAAAGAAATGACAAGCACAGAACACAGTACTGTGGCCACTTCTAAGAAAAAGGAGGTGGCAGAGGAAGTAGGTCAATATTCTGGTTTTGGAACGCATATTTTTTTTGTATGTGACAAATTCCATAAATGTTTCCTCAGAGTATCACTGACAACTGAAGATTTTTCAGATTCAATGAGACATAAAAGCAGACATAAAAGTGATTCACATAGAAAAAAATATCACCAATGATTTTTAGCCCAACAAAGCAGCAACTTTAGACAAGGCTTCCTGTTCTGAGCTGCATCTTTCCCCATCTGTCTGCCCGCCTTCCTGGCCCCTCTTGCATCCATCACCTCCTCCAAGGAACTGTGCCAATCAACTAGCAACATAAGTGCTACTCACCACTTGCCCACAAGTGCCACATTATCACTGTCACTCCAAGGCTCTCCTCACACTGACTGTCCTCAGATCTCACCTGATCTACTCCTCAATCAGAGACATGTACCAGGAGAGCCTGGGCACTGCTCACCTCAGCCTAGCTCACCACAGGAGAGCCAGGTGTCCCACCGACTACTGAAAGAATAAATAAATTAGAAAATTCAGACATTCCAAAGATGTGAAATTAAATAAGGTCTAGTTTTTAAAAACCCTGTCAGTGGAGCATGGTGTAACATGCCTATAATCTCAGCAGCTGGGAGGCTAAGGACAGCCTTTGGCCAAGAGCTTCAGGCCAGCCTGGGCAACATAGCAAGATCACGTCTCAAAAACAAAACATAAAACTAAAATACATGAGGAGTTAAAAATTATAGTCCTTGAAAAAGAATTTCCATGTTGAAATTCCCACTAGAGTAAAAACAACAATGAGGCTGCCAAAAATCAGTAAACTGTAAAATATTTATGATGCATATCCTGTTCATCTTCCCTATTCAGAGGGCAGAAGCAGAAGGATAAGAACTTTCTTAGACTGCTTATTATCCAAATAGCACATCACTTTAGAAAATGTCTTCAAGTTGGTCATTTAGCTAAAGAACAGGTAGGGTTAGAATTTTTACAGGGAAAAAATAGTAATATGACATTTTACGATTTACATTTATGTTATTTTCAGAAATCTTAGCACAACTTTTTCTTTGATAAACTGTATTCTCCTAACATTTATTCCATCCATCTTTCCCATTTTTTTTTATTCTTTTGAGTAACTGAATGGCATATTTCCTTTCAAATCTTTTAAACTACTTTCCACCAAGAGTATATGCCCAAATATATGGTAATGGAAGATACAGAACTGCTACAACAAAGTGATGTTCCTCAAGAATTAGAAACTACTACTGATAATAAGCAGGGCTTCTTCACATTTACTTTGGGGGTTTTGGTTCTAGAGTTTGAACATACAGCCTCATACATGCTAAGTAAATATGCTCTAAACCACCAAACTAGAGTTCCAGCCTCAAGTAGGGATTCTTAACTATTCAATTAATTCATTCCTGTCTATGCTTTCAATTAATTTCTTCCTGTTGTAGTAAAACTAAAGTGTTGCAGCTAGGGCTGTCAGACATAGCCAAAACTTGTCTCTGTTTTTTAATTTTTATGTTTTTGAGATGGAAACTCATTATGTAGTTCAGTATGGCCTGGACTCACTATGAAGCCCAGGCTGGCCACAAACCTTCAGATGTTCCTGCCTCAGCCTCCCAAGTGCCGGGATTACAGACATGCAGCACCATACTCAGTGACAAAAAAAAATTCTTTTAAAGACAAACCCTGTTAGGATAGATATATAGATGCATTCTCTTAATGAATAGAATGATTTGTTCTAATGGTGTTTGTAAATAGGATTTCAAGTCTGCATCTTGTACAGCAATTAACCACTAAGAAGAATATATGCAGTGTGTTATTTGTTGAAACTGTACTTCCAATTTGATATGAAACTGTCTCATTGCTATCTGTTTATCAATAAAATTTTGAAAAAAAAAAAAAAAAAGACAACCCCCAAGGGCTGGGGAGATGGCTCAGTGGAGTAAGTGCTTCCCTGGCAAGCTCAAGGGCCTGAGTTCAATCCCTGCTTCCACCAAAAGAAAAAAAAAAACAAAAAAGACAAACCCAGTTAAATTTGATTTTTGGATAAATGAAAAACAATATTTAATATTTATATTAAAACATACTCAGTGATTATCTAAAATTCATATTCAGCTGAGCATCCTGTATTTTATCTGGCAACCCTACCCACAGCCAAAAGACAGAGCAGTAACCAACCCGGGATACAGCTCAGTGGCATAAGCGCCTACCTGGCAAGTGCAAGGTTCCAAGTTCAATCCCTGGTATCGCAAAAAAAAAAAAAAAAAAATCGAATTCCCACACTTTGTATCAGAAACTGAGAACTAAAGAAAGTAAGTGGCTTGCCTTAAGGTTAAACCAAAGAGCAAAGAGATGCATTTCTCTGGAAAGCACTACCTCAGCACCTGAGATTCCACCCAGATTAAACCCCCAAATCCTGCTCAACTCCCAGAAACATCAAACAGACACACCGAAAAAGGATTACGGTTTCAAATTTTAACATAAAACTTCAACTTCCAGTGAATCCTTAATCAACACTAGCATCCCAAGATAACAAATTAGAAAACAATGCATTGCTCCTAAGTTTTAAAAAGCTTGGCAACTGTGTATGCCTGCACACTACTACCTACTACTGTGTTTGTATGTTCCATTACTATATGAAAGAGACAGATCTTCCCTGAAAGCCAGTTCTCCCAAATCCAAATTAGTCTTTAAGGTTTCACAATTTAGTAAATGAGCATGCTCACATCAGTCCATGAATCTAACATTTCATTCATATCCTCTTCCCGTTTTCATGTTTTGCACAGGATCTATCCTAATCCATTCTCCTGGCCTCAAAATAAGTCTGCTCCTCCCAATCTGTGCCTGAACAAGGAAAGCAGCAATGGGCTGAGATCTTGTTGTATAAAAAACACACCCACTTCCTCTGGCCTGCAATACAAGAAAGGGTGGGAAGTCTTTATGGGAAACGTTGGGGCCTTTTCCCAGTATATACTAATTGCCTAACTGCATGGTATACAATCAAAATCTGAAGAAAAACGAAACTCCACACACTCAGAGATTCATCTTAAGATTCCATGCAACTAATACACACCCAAAAAAGGCAGTCTCTGAACCTATAGCCACTGGAGGGGGAGGGTCACAGAAAGGTTTCGTTTTCATCTTTTCTGCAAACTGGGCTTTTCCAACACACGTCTGTAATACGGAGGTCTCGCTGCATTAAGAACACATGAACACAAACAGTTAAGTTACTAGTAAATTTCCCTCCTGACAAGTTCACCGAAAACGTTTTAGATAAAGATTTAAACACAAACCCAAGCGACCTATCAAAAGACAACATGCCCACCTCTTCTTGGCCCCGCAGCGCCGGCGTCCGCAGCTCTCTAGAGACTTGAGTCCCAGACGGCAAGAAAAGAGCCAGCGAACAGCCTGAAGTCGCCAGGCGTCAGGCCGGGCCACACCCCCTCCGGGCCACGCTCGCGCCCCGCACCCCAGCTGGGCCCGGTCCACGCGGGTCGCCACCCCCCACCCGCTGGCCACCTGTCGCAGGCCGCGCGTCAGAGCCACAGCTCCTGCGTGACGGCGCGGGGCTGGCCTGGGCCGCGGCGGGGTGTGAGGACGCGGCCGAGCCGCAGAGCCGCCTCGGGAGGGCGCCCAGCTCGCAGCCTGAGAGCCTCCCCCGGCCCGAGGGCTCGCTGCCAGACGACGCTGATCAGCCGAAACCCGACCCGCTGACCCGTCACGTGACGAGTGTCACGTGGCCTTGTGGGCGGGGCCTGCAAGGCGTTGCCGGGCGACGAGCGGAGAGCTCCGTCAGAGCCGGTGGGCGGGAACTCAACCGCTGTGCGAGGTGCTGGAGACCCCGCAGGGCATGGAGAGGGGCAGGTGTGCTGGTGCTCACGGCCCACCCCTGCCAGCTGGAAAAGGGGTGCTTGGAAGGTATATCAGACTTATATTGCCTTTTAAAATTTATGTTTACTCTTCATGGAGCGTAATCTTTGAATATAAAGTCCAGATGTGCGCTTGATTTCAGCTTCTGTCCACATCAAGCTTTCCGGAGCGTACCGCTCTTCATTTGTTATGATGACTGTTTTCACCAACTCCAGCAGTTCTAGATGAAACTTCATAGGAGTGTTAGCACAGTTTTCTCTCATTATAGTCTTGCAAATTGTGTAAAAGACAAAATACCTGTATCATCTCTTAGCAAATTGATGACAATGTAAAGCAAAGCCCTGCAAATATTTCAAAAGTGTTTTGTCATCTAGAAGTGACCTGTTGTGTGGCTTACCAGGTTCCTCTGGACAATTCTGCTTACTCTGCATTCTTGTCTGAGTAAACAACAAACTGTTAGGATCAAAGCAGTGAATGCGAAATAGCCTCCAGGTCAATACAGAAAAGTCAAAACACCTTATTCATTACTGTGACACACTCAGAAAGTGTGATGATGAACTTTCTCCAGTAGTTAAAGACCACTTGCCACACCCTGAAGAACCCTTCCTACTGTTCCTGCAGCATGTGTCAAGGAGGCGGAGCAGCTGTCTTTCAGGTATAATGTGCACCTAAGCCATACCTGATGGCCAAGGGCTGCTTCACTAATGGATGGGTGTAGAGTCCTGCATCTTTCCTCAGGAAGTGGCAGCACTTTCCTAGTTCCAGAAGCATCTGTCAGTCTTACCGAAGGGCTCAGGGTCATTGCTTACGTAGGCAAAGCACTTAGCTCTACCATTACTACCAAAGCAACTCCCTAACTTCTCTGATCCTCTCTTCACCTATCTAAGAGGAAGATGCTGTCTACTCAACAGAGTGATTGTCTTAGTCACTTTCCTAATCACTGAGGCACAGTACCCAAAATCCACAACTTAAAGGAGTTTATTTCGGCTATAGTTTAATAGGTTTTAAAAGTCCATAGTACATTGTCTACAAGGCAGAATGGCATGGCCAAGAGGAGTAGCTGCTCATAGCATGGAGTTGAGAAAGCAGAGAGAGATCAAGGGAAGAGCCAAGAAAGAAGAAAAACCCAGGCCATGTCCCCTGTAACTTGCCTATGCCCACCAAACTCTGCCTTCAAACAGCAGGTCAACGATAAAGCAGCACAGTCCTGTCACCTTCCACAAGTACTTGTCCACCCCACACACTGTAGACTTGGGGGAGATCTAATTGTAAACTCTAATAGGGGTGAGATGAAATGACATTTTAAGGAATGACATGAGGCAGAGACTGAGACCACCAGGCTTGTGTAAGGGCAGTGTGGCATGTGGGAGACAGAAAGTGAAAAGGGCAAAAAGAATCAGGCCCTTATAATAGGGCTTGAAAGAAGGCAAGGGGCATTAGACAGGAAGATCTTTACAAACCTCAGTGGTCAAAGTTCTTTGGATGCTTTGTGCCTCAGTGGGCAGTCTTTCAGGTGTCCAGTGTGAGTGCTTAGGTGTCCTTAACTGAGTATTTGAAAGATCCCCTGCCCCATCTTACCTCTTTTACAAAATTCTGTGTTTGCTGAGAACACTGGTGCGGAGTTGAGAGTAATGACTCTGCTGGCAGATAGGTTAAGCATTGGAAGTGTCATGTCCAATTGAAGCCTTACAGACATGATGTCTGCATGGTGCTTTAAAGTTCCCAGCACACATAGTGCTCAGTTAATGTTCAGAGGAAAAGGGACTGCCAATTGAGTGTGCCAAACCCTGGGTTCAGATGTGTGCCACCTAGACCATAGTTGAGGAAACAGCAAGGGAACAAAGTGCAAATGGGAAGAAGCCTATGCACTTTGAAAGCAAGATTGGCAGGAAGGAGATTGCTCATAGGTGATAAAGTACTCTCTCCAGGAGGAGTGCTGGCCTGGTGACAAGGGAGTAATTCCACAGCTTTCCTACTTGTGCTGTTGCAGACTCTAATAAGCCATCTTTCCATAGCTTCTGCCACATAGAGAATTGCCACCCTTTCCTAGGCCATCTGAGACATTAGATGTTACTACAGAAATCAGGCTTTAACCAAGCAACCTATGTTACCTGAGACTATCACACCCAACTCTCCACCAACAGTTAAATGAATAAAGCATGCTCTAGTTTTTTAGTTTGGATTTCACTATAAACAAAATGTATTGCTGTGTATGGCAAATGTATGCAAGTCTGTAATGGCACTTCATTTAACACAAAGAGCAGTATTCCCACTAAGCTAATGCATGTAATAATGGAAAATTTCCAAAGGAAAAGATAATTAATAACCTTCTAAGGTGTTGTACAGCCATTATGTGGTAGAGTCAGGCCTGAGTTCAAGTTTTCTAATTCCCAAGTTTGCATTTGGTAGATTTCTGTCACTGTAACAGAAGACCAAGATAATTAATTTATCCAGAGAAAAGCTTTATTTGGTTCATGGTAGGGGGAAGCATTGGACCTCTGATGAAGCTGTGCATCACAGTGGGGTATGTGACACAGCAAAACCATTTGCACAGGAGCCTAAGAGTAAAGGGAGAAGGCCCAGTGCTCTTCAGGGGTAACCTCCAGGGACCTAGAGCGTTCTTAAACTGCTCGCCTCTCAGAGGTTCCACATCTCCCAACAGTGCAAGCGTTTGACACATAGATTTTTGGTGGATACCTATCCAAATCATAGTGCAGCGTAAATGTCTAATCCTTTAATCAATAACTATGAATATATGTCTCAATTATCTTTTTGTTTATTCTTTCCTTATTCTGGCCCTCCTATGCAAAATAGTTTTTGGTGTACTTCAAAGGTAGAACCAATAGGATTTGCACATTAGATGTAAATGTGAAAGAACACAGTTAAAACTGATTCCAAAGTTTTGGGCCTGCCCAACCTAAGCAAAGGATATCATACTGAGCCAATAAGGCCTGGGGGACAGATCCAAGAAATTTATTTGGGGTAATTTAAATTTTCAGTGCCACTTGGTAATTTAGATAGAGATGTAGCTGGTGCAGCTGTCCAGCAACAACTGGAATTTTATGTATAAATGTACACATATAAATTATGTCAGGGCCGGGGATATAGCTCAGTGACTTAAGCACCTGCATGGCAAGTACAAGGTCCTGAGTTCAATCCCTGGTACCTAAATAAATAAATAAATCAATAATGTTATGTCAATGATATTTAAGCCCCAGGATAAAATGAGATCACACAGACCTCAACCTAAGATACAAAATACATTTTACATACTGACCAAATACATGTATATAACTAAAAGTTGCCAGAAGCAAATTTATCCTTCCCATATAGGATTCACAATCCTTTTTCTCATTTGTTTCTTTAAAATTTTTGCTCCCAACTCTATTGATTTTTTTAACCAATGACAAATGTGGCTTACAGTTTGAAAATCACTGATAGTTGCTGACCGAGGACATTAATTGCATAATTGCAACAAGAGAGCCAAAGGGTAATCATGTGCCACTGTAGAGATAAGGATACCAGTAGGAAAGGAAAGTTGGGAAGAGAACTGAGACGTAGAGGAACCAGAAGAGGGGAGCCTCAAAGCCTAAGTGGAGAAAATGTGAGGTTGAGTTAGATGAGACTCAGCCTTTGGATGTGGCAACAAAGGGATCATTGAGAACTTGAGAGTAATAAAGATTGTAAAGTTAAAGTTCTGATTATCTCTAATAAATGGTAACAGGTAGAACTCAGGCGCTTGTGCTTGCCAGGTAAGCACTTATTCTACTGAGCCATCTCCCCAACCCCTAATAATTAAGAAAACATAGATCAGAAGATGGTGGCAATGACAGGAAAGAAATCTTTGAGTCAGGTAGGGGAGTAACCTTTAGATAAGATGAACAAGAAAAAGGGAACAAGTGAGTAAAATACCAAGGAGGCCATGGGTGCAGAACAAGCTCCTGCCTGAGGACAACAGGCCAAACCAAACTGGAGGGACTCATGCTGTAGTTCCATGACCAAGCCATAAGTAGGATTTAGCTCAGCTTTTCAAAAGTCAACAAAGACACCTCAAACTGGGCCAACTTTAGGGCAACAATAAGGAAATCCCCATGCTAGTTCTCCATCAACGTGACAAAATACCTACAAGTGACAACTCAGAAAAGAAAGATGTACTTTTGGGTCATAGTTTGGAAGGGCTCAGTTCATGGCCAGTTGACTCCATTGCTGTTAAGCCTGAGGCAGGGCAAAAACATCATGGCAGAGGGTGCGCAGAAGAGAGCCACTCTCCTCATGGACCCCAAGACTGTGGCCTCATGAGCTCCTCCCACTGTAACCTCCCAAATTATGGAGGAATGGGTTGATGCATCTATTTGATGAAGTTAGAGCCTTATATGAGGCAAATATTTCCACAAAATACCATCTGCTGGTGAACAAGCCTTTAGCAAATGAGTTTGGGAGGACATTCAAAATCCAAGCTATAACTTCCCCTCCACTTTGACCCTGACCAAAAAAAAAATAGCATTAAAGTGACTTCTCTACTTTGTGTCTTCTGTTTTCTGCTTTCCTTGGCCTGTTTCTGCCTATGAAGCCAACCTTCACTCAGCTCATTAGAATGCCTGTTCCATCTCCCAAAATGAGGTGTTGCCCAATCCTAG